GTTTAGGGTTTAGGGTTTGACTCTAAGATTAGAAGTATGGGCCCCTAGCCCTATTAGGGGGATTCTAGGCACCCTAGAGGGTACATCTAGGGTATGTAATAGGTATATAAGGATCCCAGGGTTAAGGGGCCCATACCAGGGGCCCATGGTGTTAACCGTAGCTTTACGGTTTAAGGGTTTAGGGTTTAGGGGGTTTAGGGTTTGAGTTTAGGGTTTAGGGTTTGGGGTTAAGGGGGTTTAGGGTTTAGGGTTGTAGGGCTTAGGGTTTAGGGTTGTCTCCCCCTAGTGCTATGTAGTTTCTATAACATAGGGATTATATTGGATGACGGAAAGGAAAATGCAAAGTCTTATTTACGGTTCACATATAAACATGATATTGGGAGAATGGACAAGAAAATGGAAGCTACAACCAGGTCTAGGGTTGAGGGTTCAGGGGTAGGGAGTAGGGCATGGGGGAATGGATTAACGGTAAAACAAGCCTATATAGGCTTATATGGTGACTCAATTCCCTCATCCCCTGCGCAGCATCGTAGTCGTTCATCCTTGCAAGCGGTTGGCCCAGAAATTTGAAGATTCCAGTAGCAGTTGAGATGTTCTAAACCCTAAATCCCAAAGCCTAAAATGACAGATTTAGGACATGGGGCTGACAGTGCATGTTGGCTGACACTCAGGAGCTGACCGCTCAAAGGGACTCAGCAGTGGAGGCTCTGGAGGAAAGGTGAGGCGCTGAGATGTTCTCTTGATACTGCAGGTGTGTTACTTCTAGTGCTTGTCATGATCAAGACAAGCGTTTTCATGCTGAGCCTTCTTATCGATTTCAATGTGAGTAGCGTTCGCTTGGCAGGATCTCTGACTGCTTAAGCGGTGAACCCTACACCCTGAACCCTAAACCCAAAACCCAAAACTCTAAACCCTAGACCCTAAACCCTAAACCGTAACTGCAAATCAGGGCCGCCCACTATGCGATCGCGGCAGCAGGCGAGGCGACCCGGCGCTTTGCGGCCGGGGAGGTGGAGAGGAGGACTGCTCTGAAGAGTTGCTTGGCACCAGAGCAGTGTTTTATGCATCCAATGGTCTGAACCAGAAAAGGGTACGTAATGAGAGCAGCACTCATAACAGAAATGTATCCGTTCAAAATCGCCATCATCTCATTCTAAGCACCACCAGTCGCTCATTGTGACTTACCCATCCGCGTCGCTTCGCCAAAGCCTTGTCGCACAGAGTGGTATACTCGGCCAAGCTACCTAGAAGAAGCAGAGTGGATAAACATCATCTCACGAGCATTAGTACGTTAGGTGACTACCTGAGCTAGCTTCCGTTTTATTATCCATTATCCCTATATAACCCCAATATGACCCCAATATACAGCCAGTATAGTATGACCCCCATATACTACTACATAGGGAGACCTGGCAGCCGCTCCGCCTTGCAGGTTATCGTGACCTTGCCAATGAGATTTGTTCGGAAGCGTGCGCAGAAATGCGGGGGCTTCTAGAAGCACCACTTGATCAGGCAGGGTTTTGCAAAACGTGTGCGAAGGTATGCGCAGGCTGCCAGGTTGTCAGGCGGCCAGGTGTCCCTATGTAGTATATTGGGGTTATAATACAATGGCTATATATTGGGGTTATATCATAATGGTTATATATTGGGGTTATATTACAATGGCTATATATTAGGGTTGTATTATAATAGCTATATATTGGGGTTATATTGGGGTTAAATAGGGATAGTGAAAAAAAACGGAAACTACCGCATGTGGCAGGCTTGGCTAGCAAACTTGGCCAGATCACTGGAGCGTCGGCTACATTTTTGGACCTCAGAGCTCGAAGAAACTTGGGCAGCATGGCATGACGCCACTGCGTGTATGCACAATGCCGGGCAGGACGCCATGGGTGTTTGGCGGGAAATTGCAGAAGTTCTGGAGTCAGCTTGCCAGCACTTTGAGACACAAGAAGGAGAGCGGCTGGTGAAGAAACCTGAGTTGCAGAGTGCACTCGTTGCCTTTGCAGCAAGGAGTTTGGAGGTGGAGCTGGTCAACTCGCTTGGTCTCAGCGGCCTGCATGATGGGGACGCCTCGAATCCACAAAATCAATTTTGTGTGGAGAGCCGCCTGAACATGCTTACGGCCGTGCTAGACCTCCTGTCGCATTTGGGCGCTTTAGATAGAGTCGGTGAGGAGCTTTTGTCTACAAGCTCCACACCAAAGCCGGAGAGTGCTGTGGCAATGCCAACACCCACTAGCCGGGCAGCTGTCCAGATGGCGCACCGCTTGGAAGTTCTTCCGCTGGCAAGGCCTAGTTTGGAAGTCACTTCTGAGGGCCTGGAAGCCTGCGAGGAGTCTTGTCTGAAAATGGTTCTTTTGGTTACCCTAGGCCCGAAATAGTACCTTCCATCTTCTTTTCCAAAAAAGGCAATAATGGAAAAGAAACTACTATTTAGGGTTTAGGGTTTAGCCGCGCAGGAATCTCCCGGAAGTTCCACCGTAGGCAGTGCACTGGGCTCTTCCCTTAGCGTTCTCAGCGGCGCACTCGGCCATTTGGACTCCCTGCCCTCTGCTGCTGCTGCCGTTCAGTTTAGCACTGCAGCACAGGCGCGGGCGCCAAAAATTCTTAGGCAAGGCGAGGGCCTAGTCATATCGGCTTCTGACAACATAAGTCAAAGAGGGAGCAGTCATTCGCAATCCGATTCTGGGTTTAGGACCAAACCTATGTGATAGGGAGCCCAAATACAGGTGGTAGTTTCCCAAAATAGGGGGACCCCAATATGGGCCCCAAAATATTATAATCCTTATTATTGGGACCCCTAAAAAGGTACCCCTAATTTTGGGAAACCCTAATCCCCAGATTCCCCCATATAAACCCAGTTTCCATTCCATTTTCCATTTTCTTTTTCATTTGATTCTCCATTATACTAGGTACCCCTAATTATGGGAAACCCCCATAAACCCTAAACCCTAAACCCTAGGTGACTCCCTGCACAGCTTTACGCATGGTGGCTTCCACGGACGATCCTGGGTTGCTGTTAAGGAACTTAAGTTAAGTCACTATATTGGGGAAACCCATAATGGGGTTTAGGGTTTAGGGTTTCGGGGTTTAGGGTTTAGGGTTTTAGGGTTTAGGGTACTTAAATTAAGAGATTATACCCCCTATAATGGAGAATCAAATGGAAAAGAAAATGGAAAA